GTATCTATATATATCATAAATAATAGAAGAAAGAGTTCTTCAATTCATATATGTAAATTGCTTCCTTTATTCAGTCATGCATTTAAAATAAAGTATGTATATGAATTGTCCAGATGATTCATTTAATAGGTAAATGAATTATCGAAAAGGTTCCCCNCAAAACCTTGAGAAGTGATAATGGCACTGAACACACTTCTCAAGAGTTTGAAAAAATCTGCACTGAAGCTGGAATAAGACATGAATACAGCAGCCCATACACTCCACAACAGAATGGAGTTTATGAGAGGAGAAACAAGACAGTCATGGAGATGGCAAGATGCTTAATGGCTGAGAAAAATCTTCCCAAACCATTTTGGGCAGAAGCAGCAAATACAAGTGTCTACCTACTTAACAGGATTCCCACCAAAGCCTTAAAAAACCAAACACTTTTTGAAGCTTGGACAGGAATCAAGCCAGCAGTGGATGACCTGAAGATTTTTGGAAGCCTTTGCTATGTCCTAGTGCCACCTGCAAAGAGGACTAAGCTGGAGGATAAGGCTTTCATAGGAATTTTTATTGGCTACAGCAGCCAATCCAAGGCCTACAGACTTTATATTCCTTATTCAAAAAGGGTTGTGGTGTCCCGAGATGTTAAGGTTGATGAAAGAAGAGTCTGGAACTGGGAAAAGGGTAGAGCTGATGTAGATACACAACCTCAACTGAGTGAGGTTCAACCTGATCAAATTGAAGAAGATTCAAGAGAGGAATCAGAAGAAGAAGTTGCTATTAGGGGAACCAAAACACTTGCTGATGTGTATGACAGGTGCAACTTAGCAGAAATGGAACCTACAAGTTATTTAGAGGCTGCACAATCAGAATCCTGGAGGAGTGCCATGAAGGAGGAGCTGGCCATGATTGAAAAGAACCAAACCTGGAAGCTGGTGGACAGACGAGAAAACAGAAAAGTTATCCAAGTGAAGTGGATTTTCAGAAAAAACTGAATCCAGATGGGTCAATTCTGAAGCATAAGGCCAGGCTTGTAGTTAAGGGATTTGCTCAACAATATGGAGTGGATTTCCTAGAGACATTTGCTCCTGTTGCACGGCATGACACCATTAGGCTACTACTTGTAGTGGCTGCTCAATTCTCCTGGAAAGTGTACCAAATGGATGTAAAATCTGCCTTCTTGAATGGCTGGTTGAATAAGGAAATCTACATCGAACAACCTGAAGGTTTGTGATCCAAGGACAAAAGGGAAAGGTGTATTTGCTGAGGAAAGCCTTTTATGGGCTAAAACAGGCTCTAAGGGCTTGGTACAGCAGGATTAATGACCACCTGCTGAACTTGGATTTTGTTAGGAGTCCAAATGAACACACTCTATACATTAGAGAAGCTGAAGATGACTTGATGATCATTTCATTGTATGTGGATGATCTTCTAGTAATTGGAAGCAATCAAACTCAAGTGGATGAATTCAAGAAATCCATGCAAAGTGAGTTTGAAATGACTGACTTGGGTGGAATGTCTTACTTTCTTGGAATGGAGATTGATCAACAAGTGGATGGGATCTTTGTGAATCAAAAAAGGTATGCAAGAGAAGTTTTNCTCTCTCTCTCTCTCTCTTTTATTTTAAATTTAATATAAATTTATTGTAGTAATTTCATTAATTTTAGCCTTTTAGTATAATAATTTTAAATGTATTTGACTAATAAATTTATTAAAATATAAATGTATAATATTTAACAAACGCAAAGTATAATATTTCATTTTATAAATTGATATCTTTTGGGTCATTCAACCTTGAATTTTAAGTTATTATAGGTTAACCCGATATGCATTTATTTACTTATTTTTAAATTTTAACTTGTCAAACAATTAAGGGAGGACGTAGGATAAGAAGTCATATTTACATAAGGTGTGAGCTTGGGTAGAATTTCATTTCAGAAAACTAACTCAAGAGATAATGAAGTTCAACCACATATATCTATCATAACAGTCTAATAAATTGATCATATGGGATAAATACAACTTTTAACAAAATGACCTCAGATAAATTAGCTATAAATGACTATGTATCTTTTGGTAATGTTTGCGAAACATGGAGAGGCATTGTGATCCAACCGATTTGTGCTAAGCCGTCGCGACATCGACATTTTCCATGGCTGGTGATGTTTGGCCAATATGAAACCACAACAAGGAGTTGCTTCAATATATTTGAAAATAAACTGCGGCTCGTGGAGATGCCCAAATCTTACGAGAGAATGTTTTATGGGATCTTTTGAAGAATGGTTGATTATGGTGAAACTGAATCTCGACTATCAGTGGCAAATCCAAATCTTTTTGATGAATCTATTGTTAGGCGTTGAAATTCTTCTTCCTCATGTTGACAACGATTATCATAAGTTGATGTTTGCAAAATATCCTGATGATGAAAACTGTATGTATATGTTATTAACTATGTTGTCGACTGAGTTGATATTTTGGACCCCGGGAGCTCAAGAGTGGTGTGAATTTGAATTTGAACTAGATGAGTACCTTACTTAAAAGCAAACAAGTTCGCTCAGTTAGTAAAATTTAATATGTTTGTTGTCTTTTACTTAAATATGTGTTTTGGGTAAGTGAAGGTAATGCACTTCACAATGTGTATGTGCCCAGACACAGTATTCTCAAATGTAAAATACAGCCTTTCACAAGTTCAATCTAGTGCCACACTTAAGTTTTCAAGCAGGGAAATTGTGGACCGAGCCGACTTGTTACAGTGCACCAGAAATTCCGAGGACAGTCACCTCTACCAAGCAAACATCTTTCCCTAGATAACCAGCGCTTAGCAGATTTAAGCAAGTGAATGACATGAATCTTGGCCAACAATATTCCTGCTGTGAAGCACTGAACCAGTGTTTAGCTGTAAGAGAATGGGAAATAATGAGCTTATCTAGATATGGTCATAGGATAATGGCTGAAATTAACTTCCTGCCGCTACAGTCTTACTAAGAGAAATATTAGTTGTGTATAAGGAACAAGTATATGACTATTTATACCTTTACCACCTATGTGCTTGGCCTGCACTTGATCCAGGATTCGCAATGTGAATTCTGCGTACATTTTAGAACCAGAGGCAAGAGTAGTTAAATCTGCCAGAGCCAAGTACAGAGAAAGAAGAGTGCCAGCTCCAAGGCGTCTTCCCTTGGATAGAGCTGTATCTCCTTGCAACACAACTAAGACAAACAAATTTCTAGAAATCTTTATCTAAAGTCCTTGAAACCCAGAGAGAGAGCAATCTGATGAAGATTTACCAAAGCAATTTGTCACACAAAGGTCCGATTAGACATCTTTTTCCCTTTTTTTTTTTTTCTTTTTCTTTTCTATGGTTCAGTTTGAAACTTAAAACACTGGTAATTTCTTCTTCTGTATTTATGGATCACTATTAAATAAGCCTTTTCATCATCTTCTAAATGTCACTTCATGGGTAAGAAACATAACACTTATCAAGGTAAATCCAACAGTCCTATAAAATTTGATACTATTTGTGATCTCCAGCAATGAAAACTTTTGAGTCATAACATTCTTCATTTAACTTCCAAAAACCTTCAACCTTCCAGACATACTTAAAAGTACTCACTCACTCACAAAGTAGGTGCATCTTTGATAATTGATAAGCACTCTCCTTCGCCTGTGATTGTTTCTTTACAAACAAAGACATCTGCTACAAACACACACGAGTCCTCCACAAGGTACCCATTAGAAGCATCATTAAATACTGTAAGCAGAATTTATTGATCAAAACCCCTTTCAAGCTTCAATCCATGAAAGCGTCTTTCCCTCCCCAGAGCATCTAGTCAAGAAAATTGACCAAATAATCAGTAAGAGGCACACGATTTGCTTGTGGTACACGCTAAATCAAGAAGGCAATAGAACGAAACATATCTAAAATGCAAGAGAGAGAGGGGGAGAAAAAAGTTCTTTGATGTTCAAGAGCAACTATTTTAGACACCAAAATAACTCAACAGGTACAAGCTGACAATTTTTCTCACAAATTGTGTCAAACAACATCCACAAGTCATAAAGTAAAATTAAGTGTAAAAAGGATGTAAAGTCTATTGGCTATGTCCCAATTTATAAAATAAACTAACCTTGAACTATCAAGTAGTTGTCCTTATTCTGATCAAGCAAAAACAATCAGACAACTGCATAGACCTCCCAACCACGACAGAGAGAACTTGCATCTGCTATCGCTAAGTACAGAGAAATATGCTCTTTTACATTCTTGCTTTTATTATGCTTGGGTAGAGAACCAGTTTCCCGCAAGTGTGGGCGTAATATATTTAATATGTTAATGGAGTTTGAAAATAAGAAGATAATATCAGTAATGCAAAGGCTATGTCCCCGCAGAAGATGGTTGTGGACTTACTACTGCAACCAAAATCAATTAATATGTTCATACATAGGGTAAATTTGTTTTCAGTTATGATGTCTGAACATAACTGCATTTAAATCCTTCAGGTGTTTTTAGAGTATTTGATCTACAACTTCATACATATTTATAAAAATGAAAGAGAAACAAAAACCCTAAACTTTTGGTTTTTATCTTAATTGAAAAGATCTGAAATATTTGCCTCAAATTAATTCTCAAAAACACCTATAAAATTATTCTAATTCTTATCTTCATAAAACCCATTTATATGTTTAAGCAAGAATTTGGACCATATTTTAAATCAATTCTTTCAACCATCTAATTAATTTTCTTATTTCTTAATTATTTTTATTGAATAATCAATTTCATACCTTTAAGTTTAATAAATAAAATGGCTTATTTATTCATTTTTCAAATATCCTGTTTTAAGTCAAACTAACGATCTTCCAAGACTTAATGTTTAGACATTAAAAGAAAATATCTTTAAAATTTATGCATTTAGACCTATTCAAATTTCAGTTAAATTCAGATATTTAAACTTCAAACAACATAACAGATGCCACCTCACTAAACATATGCTTTGGTTTATGAGAAAGAAAATATACCATCTGTAGCCTCCGGCCTCAAATTCCCAGATTCATATTTCTCCACTGCATTCTTCATAGTAGTAAAAATAATTGTATTTTGACAGTGTCATGAGTTGGTGGTGCATCAGATGTAGATCTTATGATCCCTGCAATTTTGATGCTGACGAAAATATATTCCTAACAAGAAGAAGAACCTGAGGTAAGTGCTGAAATTATTTAATGCATATCATAGCAGCTAACTACACAAAAACACACTCATGTAGGGAGAGAAGAGCATACCATCCTTATCATCAAAGATTCCGTCCATGGCAATTTGTTGAATTGTAGAGATACAGGTTACACCAATCAGCTTCATAGTCTTTTATAAGGAACAGAAGGAAGCTAATATTCCAATCTTAAAAATTTTTTAAAGGTACTTTATCCTTTGCTTAAGAGGATTACTTTTTGAACATTTAATAAGTATCAATTCTATTCTTGGAGGTGTCAACAAAATTACAAATATTAATATTCAGGGAGGATGATGTGTTGGGTTCCAGATGGCTGTATCACATAAAAAGTTGGCATCATGTGTTGGGTTACTGAAGAATACAGATTCAGACCTGAAATTGGGCCATTATAATCATCAACTTGTCTCATTGATCCAAAGGGCAGCTTTGCACCATCAGTTCCACAAGATGTGTTACTAAATAAATTACATAAGTCCCAAAAGAAATCACATCAGTCATAAACAGGAAAAAGCGGCAAGATCAATGCACATAGATTTCATAGGAACAACTATTTACAAACCGGATAAGGGAAACTTAAAATTTTCTTCATAACAGTAACCTTTCTTGTGTAACAAGACAGGGCTCCTAATAAGGAAAAAGCTAGAGCTAATCAAGATTCAATTATAACACCTCCAAATCACTGAATATCAACTATTGAGGAAAACAAAACAAATTACTATCAGTAAATCAGTATATGGGTATTGAACCCCTTTAATAATTCCTCTGTTTCAACAGGAGCATATATCATAATGGCACTTTCAACCACAGAACAGAAAGGCGATCCCTCTTTGCTATGAAGATTTTGGCCTTCTATACCCCAAACTTATCAGCTTCTCAACCAACTTCTTCTCCACATTTACTTAAAAACTCAATATATATATATAGCAACAAGCTCTAAACACACACAACAACAAAAAGAAGTGAATCACACATAACAAGGTCAATAACCAAAACACAAACACATGAGAGGGAACCAAACCTCAATCATAGGATTATTGTTAGCCATATTGCAAGCCAAAATCACATTGAGACCAGTCTTTATCACTGCCACAAACATTTATATCAGCCAACACAAAAACCTTTCCAACTATAAAACATGTAATCCAACTCATAAACACAATATATACCTAATCTTTGAGCAATGCCAGATCCAGTATTGTCAGAAACCCCTCCAAGTATTCAATTAACAATCACTGTATTTTACTTTGCATCATCATAAAAAATTACAATATGAAAAATCTCATTTACTTTATCTCTTTCCTTCTAGGTTCATACTACATTACTGGTGTCCTAACACCAAACGGATATTTTGGTTACACAATGTTTTGGTTTCATTTAACTATATTGTTGGCTGAAAATTCATTTAAAAATTTATAATAAATATGATTTTCATAATTTCAAGTTTACTAATAAACATTGAATTACATAAACTTACAGGCCAACTAGGCACGGCTGCATATAAGCAGCCAAATTTGGCAGAGTTAAACCAATCCAAGCATATATCTGTTTTCTTCAACAAAAATCGAAGTAAATTATTGCTCTCTACGGTTATGCATATTACAGTTATGTATGTAGAAGTAGTAGAACTAGAACCTAGGGATGGGCACGGGCCAAGTCGAGGCTGGGGACCCCTGTCTCCACGTCCGGCCTGAGGGCCCAGGGGGATTCCCCTAGTCCGGCCCGTCCCCGGGACAGGGATTTCGGGGAATCGCTAGGCCCGACACGGGGTAATGTGGTGACTCCCATCCCCATCCCAACCCGCCCCAAATTCAGGGGTTTTCCCCACTCATTCCCCACATAATGCTTCTAGAAATCAGGTATCCATTATATAGATAGCATTTTTTTCAATTATTATCGAAACAAATATTAATAAAATGACACAGAGACAATTATTTATTACAAATTTAAAAATTAGACTTATTCATATTAATAATGGTATTTACAGTATCACAATATTGATTCGAACAAGTTCCACTGCTTTAAATAAAGATGATTCCACCGTATCATAAAATGTTATCCTGAGAATATTATATAGTAAATTTCTCAAACCCCAAAACATGTTTATGATTAACGCTGCAAACCAGTGCAGACCGAATTTAACAAAACAAATAACATGAAAATTATATCATTATCCAACAAAAAATCATAACAGTAACACATCTGAAATCCAAATAATAAATCTTCTGTCTTCTGTCTAGTCAAAACAGCTTCTGTCTTCTGTCTAGTCAAAACAGCTTTACTCCTATCACAAAACTTGAAAAACCTTCTAGAAGGCGGACAAATTAGAACATATAGTCTAGAGCTCTTAAATGATGGCATTAGCTGCACTCGCAATCACTTTTATCCTAAATAAAGTGGAAAACACAATTTAATTTGACATCCAACAACAAATTGACAAACACAATTTAATTCAACTTGAGGGCACCACAAAGAGTATCAAGTCCAAAAAGAAAAGATGCTTAAGCTGTAACAGGATAACTTATGCATGAAACATGCTTGTGGTATCCAATATTTATCAAATCAAATCAACCACAATTAGCACCATAGCAACCAATATGGCAAAGTTGAGCTTAAATGTAACTTTTTCCTCAAAAAACCATAAGAAACACTAAATTCAATCTGTGTTTTTGGTGCTGATTAAAAAAACTAATTCAAAACCATCCTGATTGAGACCTTGAAAACCCATCCTGCAACATCGCATACTGTAACAAACAACCTGTACACAAATTTCAAGTTATTACATACATAAAGAAAATCAGATTACTTATATAATTGGAAAGAATAAAAGATACATGCATAAACCACAAAGTTGTTTTCCAAGAGATCCCTTGAAAACCCACCATGCAACATCTCATACTTGAAGATACGTGCATAAAAACATTTTAACACACCAACAGCCAATTTCAGTCCACTTAAAAACCTCAAACAACACTTCAAAATTTCATCCAACATCATGGAAAACAACAACCATTCAAGCAAGTTTCCCATTTAACCCAAATATCATCAAGAGAGCCACACAATATATTCTGCATTGACCGACTCAAAAGTCCATAAACCAACTAGCTATCTCTTTCTCCAATTTCGAAGACAAACAAACTCAAATTAGAATAAAAGAGGGAAAAAAAGGGAAAATACTTTAAGCCATGCAACAACTAGGGAGAATAAAGGCAATACAAAACAATCCATAAAACAAATAAACGGTGGGAAAAATACTTGAATCGGGAAACGTAGAGTCGTGGAGGCGATGACGGTAGCCGATTAGTGTTTGTGGAGGCCGGAATCGGCGAAGAGGCGATGACGGTAGCAGATTACGGTTTGTGGAGGCCGGAATCGGTGAAGAGGCTATGACGGGTTGACGGACGACGGTAGCAGACCAGGGATTTAGGGTTGACTTCTCGTTGTGTTTGTGACTTTTTGCAGTCTTGTGTGGGCGAAAATTGGGTAATTCCATAATTATAAAACTATAACAAGGGCAAGTAGGTAATACAATGAATCCAGGGATATTTTGTAATTATTGAAATAATGGAGGACAGAAAAATCTTTATCTTAAAATGATACTTGTTCTATTCTTGACAGACTCTATATCCAATTTTGTAAGTTTCTTCTCAAATTATCAAATACACATAATTTTGATCATTCATTAAAATATATATATATATATATATTTTTTTTTTTTGTTGATGCTTGATTTTGACACCAATGACTTACATGTGTGAAGTGCTGAGCGGACTTAGAAATCACACGTGATATAGAAGTGCAAAATGAGAGATGGAGCGAGTAACACTTTTAAAGTGGTTCAGATGCCCCAAGGTAAATCCTACGTCCACTGTGATTATATTAATAGTGAGTTACAATCAGGTCGCATGCAGCGAGCTTAATTATAATAGAGAAAATAAATGGAAAGAGAAGGAGAGGGAGAGAGAGAGAGAGTTTAGATGGTGAATGAGCCAATCCTGTAAATGGAGGAGAGCCCTCTATTTATAGTGAGAGGATCCAAGATGGCGGTTATGATTTTGTGTGTGGGCAGGTGTGGACCGTGTGGTACAATTCCTAACCTGCTTCCCATTGGTTGCTTGTACGAAAGGTATCCTTAAATCGCGCATAGCTTTAGCAGGTGGATAATTCCCAACCACTCATAGGCCTGGCGTTCACCTGCCTTACTGACGATGGCCTTACCTCTCTTGTCCTTGTGGGACATGGCTACATCCAGGCGGCAGAAAACCTTCCTGAATTCTTATTAGTTCTTGCTGACGCGTGCTTACGCTAGCCCTGGTTCTTGGGCATAATAGAAGCCCCCCAGTTGTTAAGGTTTAAGGATTAAGCCTTGAGAACTTTATGATTATGCCGCGACTTAGGTGATCCGGAGGTGACGTTTGATCGAGCCGATCGAGCTACGTGGGTCCTTGAGAACGGTACTTAGCGACATGGTGTAGCTTTTTTATGGCAGGTTCAGCGACCTAAATCAGGTCGCAATCAGTGTCGTATCAATATGTCCTGAGCCTCGACTCTATCTTGCGACCTCAGAAAGTTTTATCACCTCTCTTATTAAGAGCGAGGAGTCGTGTTGCCTTGAAACAAACAAGCGGTGAAGAGTGTTAATTCAAACGACCTCTTCAGATGTTATCCGTTACACGTGACAGTTTACCGAACCAATAAAATATCCTTGATTCTGACAGACTTGTCCATTACACAATAAGTGCCAGCCATGCGCATTTAATGCGAGCCATGCTAAAATGACATTCTCCTTCAGAGCATTAAATGCGGATAGGGGCACATTTAATGTGGAGGAGGGTAACTGTGCCGTCGTTTGGTTATTCCAATGGAGGGAAATGTTGATTGGCATTTCTAAAGCTTAGGAGTTACTCTTCTCGCAGATTAACGACATGTGATCATAATCAATGGCGAGGATTGTGTCCCGCCCAAATGTCACTTGCTCAGGAAACCCAATTGATGCCTTTTTGCCTATAAAATTGCCACAAACTCTTATTCTCAGAAAGAGAAACGAAGCTCTCGCAAGAGTTAGCCCGCCTTCTTCCGTTGATGTTCGCCGTTCGTTATGACAGAAAGCTCTTCCCACGCTGCCAAGAGGTAAGAAGAGTTTCTCTCTCTCTCTTTCATCCGTCGTCAACGGTTCTGTATGACTTGTTTGGTAATGGCGTGTATGGGCTGTCTGGTGGACTTTCGCAGTGCATGTCCCCAGATAGTGGTGAGGAGAGGGGTTTAGTTTTCCTTGAAGATGAGAGGTTTAAGGCACAAATCCTTGGGGGTTCACTCCCAAAAGGTTTTTGAGGGTTTTGCTAAGGTTTTAGAAGGATACATTAGGGTTCCTCTTCTCCTTCCACGTCACCGTACGGAACATCGTACGAGGACTGAGCCTTTATCTTTCTTTTAATATATATTATCACATATTTTTTATTATTTTTTTTTCGTCGCTCCTTTTTCAGACTTAAGAACAATGGATGCTTCAGCGACCAGGGGAGCCGAACGCACAAGCTCGTAGGGCCCAGCCGCCCAAGCGGGTCTTGTGCCAGAGACCTTGTCGGTGATCACCCGAGAGGAGATACAAAAGGCAGTGGACCAATATGCGCTTAGCGTGAATGTCTACCAACACAGAAACCGTACAACTTGGAATCCCCTAGAGGAAAAGGTCATGATCTCGGAGACGATCTTTAAGTGTGGGGCGCTGATACCTTTTCATCCCTTCGTAAGGTCGATTCTTAACCACTTAGAGGTCGTGCCAATGTAGTTAACGCCCAATGCGTATATGATAGCTATTGCTATGTATATCGCATGTGGCAAAAATGACCTTGGCGAGCTTACAGCATTGGAGTTCGCGTGCTCTTACTATATGAAGAAAAGCAAAGACAAGGATTCCTTCTACCTCTCAAAGCGATCTACGATCGAGGGAAAGATATTCAATTACCCTAGCAACGTCGAGGCTTATGAAACTAAGTTTTTCTTTTTTGAATACGATGGCGTCTGCCAGTTTAGGGAGCCAAGTATGTCTTTTTTTTGCATTTGCGAGCTGTTATACCTTTGGTTTTTGTATCTGATGAAACTTTCTATCTCTTCGCAAGAAATAAGACGACCAGGTTAGGAAATCTAACACATTACAATTGAATCGTCGCGTTTGACCGTCTTCTCAACCATTGTCGCAATGCGAAACTGCTCATGACCACT